GTGGCTGGCGCCTTAACCCGTTGAGCTATAGGCGCCGAGCCAGATTTTCCTTAGTTTTTATACAGACTTGGGTCTTGCTTTGTTGCCCAGGCTGGTCTTGAATTCCTGGCCTCAAGTGATCCTTCCACATCTGCCTTCCAAAGTGCTAGGACTAAAGGTGTGAGCCACCAAGCCTAGCTCATACAAGTTATTTATTTATTTATTTATTTATCTACTTATTGAGACCCAGTCTTACTCCATTGCCCTGGGGTTGAGTGCCATGGCATCATAATTACTCACAGCAACCTCAAACTCCTGGGCTCAAGCAATCCACCTGCCTCAGCTTCCTAAATAGTGGGACTACAGGCACCTGCCACAACACTGGACCAGTTTTTCTGTTTTAGTAAAAATGGGGTCTCACTCTTGCTCAGACTAGTCTTGATCTCCTGAACTCAAGAAATCCACCCACCTAGACCCGGATTACAGGCATGAGCCACCACACCCAGCTTTATACAAATAATTTAAAACAAACAATTCCCTGACCAGGAATCAAGCCTGGGCTGCAGCCATGAAGCACTGAATCTTAACCACTAGACCACAGACTAGGATGCTTTTTTATAGATCTTTCAGTGGATCCAAAGAAGACAGTTTGAGCATTTAAAAGATTTTCTATCTCATCTTTTTCACTTAAAAATCCACTTGTAACTGCTGCTAATCAGAGTGTACATTCAGAGCAACTTAAATCTACGCTACCAGGTAGTCATCCTTAAGCTTTGGGATCAAATAAACTCTATACTTAATCATATTTTCTGAATCTTGTTATTTAAGGCTGACACTAGCATACCCATTTTTGCATCCACACACCTACTTACTTATCTATCTATTAACCTTTCATCCATCCATCCATCATTCACTCATCATTCAAGCATATACATTGTGCCACGAATCAAAGAATAGATCAAATCCTTTCCTTACCCACTGGAGTTCCCTGGCTGGTTGGGGGGAAAGCACAGTGACAACATAGTGTGATAAATAGTGTAATTGAAGTGGCCAAGGTGGGGGGTCACTGGGAGCCAGAGAGAAGACAGTGAGAGTTGGGGATGGGAAGCCCAGAAAGATTTCTTGGAGGAGGTGCCATTGGAACTGGCTTTGAAAGATGAGAAGGCTGTTACCAGGTACAGGAGAAGCCCTGTGGCTTCAGGGCAAGGGCATCAGGAGGTCAGGGAGATCCTTGAATAGAGTAAAAGAGCTGGGCTTGAAGCCTTGGAAATCACAATAGGGTAAGGATGTTCTCCTGGAAGCCCTGGCTTATACTTGGGTTGTGACGATCCCCCCAACCCATCCCCTTACCCATTGCCAAGAGCAAAACTGCACACAGTGTCAAATGCTCATGGAATGTGAAAGCCACAATGCAGGCTGTGTGTACTGAACAGTTACTGTCTGCTGGCGATCCTGTGTGCATCTCCTCATTTAATCCTGCAGCCACCTGTGGGCTTATATTTATGGCGGAGGAAACTGAGCTATAGAGTGGTGAGGACACAAAGCTGGGACTCAGACCTAGGACTCCTCTGACGCTGGTGCTTGTACTTATAACAACTTGCTGGGGGGTCTTCCAGCTCTGCTCAAAGCTGGCAGCCCTTTATTTATTTATTTATTTATTTGTTTGCATGGTTTTTTTTTTTTTTGTTTGTTTGTTTGCCAGGGCTGGGTTTGAAACCGCCACCTCTGGCATGTGGGGCCAGCGCCCTACTCCTTTGAGCCACAGGCACCGCCCAAAGCTGGCAGCCCTTAATGATTCTGTTAAGTTCATCAAACACTTCCAGATACCCCCCATTCCCCTGTCCCCATGGGTGCCAGGAACAGAGCAGGCCTGCCCTCAGGAAGCTCCCAGTCAATAGGCAGGGTCCAGTGGCTGGGTGTAAGGCCAGCTGTAAGGAGGGGGAAGATGGAGATGAAGTCACCTGTGGGGCAGGGGGACACAGAATAGGCCTTTGGAAAAACAAAAATTTCAAAAGGCAGATGTAGGGAAGATGAGAGGGTACAAGAAGCATAACCCTCATGGACCTCTCACCCAGTCCAGGCCCAGAGGGCCACAGACTGCCTGCAATGTACATTTCATGCCAGCAGCTCCTGGAATGGTCCAGCATGTAATAGGTGCTCAGTTAATAGTAACTCAGTAGGCTTGGCGCCTATAGCTCAGGTGGCTAGGGGGCCAGCCATATACACTGGAGCTGGAGGGTTCGAATCCAGCCCGGGCCTGCCAAACAGCAATGACAACTACAACCAAAAAAACCCCGGCACTATGGTGGGCACCTGTAGTCCCAGCTACTTGGGAGGCTGATGCAAGAAAATCATTTAAGCCCAAGAGTTTGAGGTTACTGTGAGCTGTGACACTATGGCACTCTACCCACGGCGACAGCTTGAGACTCTGTCTCAAAAAAACCAAGGGGCTGAAAAAGCAGGTCACAAGCAAAACTTGTCCTAGAAAAAAACTATGTGGAGGCAAGACAGAGTACCTGGCGTGGATCTCTGAGGCGCAGAGGCCCTAGTTCCAGCTCATCCCCCAGCACTCTCCATGACACTGGGCAAGTCCTCTCATGTTCTGAGTCTCAGATACCTTAGCTGAAAATAAAGCATGAGAGGAAATAACCCCTGTGGGAGGCCTGTTATCTCGAAAGTGACAGTATGATGACTTTTCCCTTAAATCCCTCGTTACAGAGACTTGCCAGAGAATGTTTAAAGCAGTTGGCAACCAAGAAGGAGCAGGAAGTTGGCAACATAACTCAGATAGAAGACACTGCAGAGAAGCTCAAGGCAAGTGGACGTTTCTTCCTTATTGAGTCCTCCCAGTATGGAGCCAAGGAAAAATCACAACTACCCCACCAGATGAGATTTGGTGGAGCCTAGGGCATCTGTAATTTAGGCACCCTCTTTGAGAGAGAGAGAATACAAAATTACAGACAAAATTAGGTGCAAGACCATGAGGGGGTTCTGCAAGTGGGGGGCCTTGAGGCTCCGGTTTCATTCGATTTGTGGCAAACCTGGTACCTTCAAGTCCCTCAGCTCCCATTCTCTTAGAGGGACTCATCCAAGTGCCACCTGCCTACAACACAGCAAAATACAGCATAGGGAACATGTAAATATCTCTTTAGGTTTCACTGCCATCTTGAAAGTAAATAGGGGGGCGGTGCCGGTAGCTCAATGAGTAGGGCGCTGGCCACATACACTGAGGCTGGCAGGTTTGAACCCAACCCAGGCCAGCTAAATAACAATGACAACTGCAACAACAAAATAGCCGGGTGTTGTGGTGGGCGCCTGTGGTCCCAGCAACTTGGGAGGCTGAGGCAAGAGAATCACTTAAGCCCAAGAGTTTGAGGTTGCTGTGAGCTGTTATGCCACAGCACTCTACCAAGGACAACATAGTGAGACTGTCTCAAAAAAAGAAAGTAAATAGTGTATAAATATGTTCCGTATATGCACTTTCTTCAGGCTCCTCCTTTCATAATGATTTTTGTTTCAATAGATTCTTTATGGGGTTTTGAATGGGAAGTTGAGGCTGATGTTACTGTGAGTAGCCACTTTGACTTTGACAACATTGTTGCATTTTTAGGGGTCTTTCGTGTGAACTCAAGCCACGTCCTTCCTCTCCCAGCCTCAGCTGCTCCCTCCTCGCAGTGAGGGCTGGGGTGGGATGCCCTCCTAGGGCATTGTGAGTTTATGAATCCCTGACTGGCCCAAACTAGTCAGAGAGGAGGACTGGTTCTGACCCTGGAAAGAGCTGGCACCCAGTTCTTCCTGCGACGTGGCCAGGGCACAGATTTGCCCCCTCCATTTGCCCAATGTTCATTCCCCATTAGGCATCTGCACACCCTAGTATGCTGGGGACATCTGTGGTTCATCCTGTGGCCATCTGTGGTTCATCCTGTGGCCCCAGCTTAATTATTAACAGTGTCCCGCCTATCTTCAAGAGCAGGACTCTGGGCCCTGGAAGATAAATTGATTCCAAAGTATTTGGGAAGTGAAAGTTGACATATTCAAAGGGGTGGGGGAGGTGCTTGTGCTGTTCAGCCTGAGTAACAGGTTCGCTGTCTGCAAGTCTCTGAGCAGATATGGTTTAAAGATCCGTGAAGGAGAGTGTAGAGGCTCTAACGGGCAGATTCCACCTTAATCTGAGGACTGTTTTCTTTGTTTGGACTCTCTCACAACTTTTTAACTTTTCATAGATTCACAGAAGTTGCAAAGATAGTACAGAAAAGTTTCGTGTGCCTTCACCTAGTTTGCCCTAACGATTACATCTTACGTAACTATAGTACAACATCCAAAAAATTGACAGTGTCTATAGTTCTGTGTTAACTTACCACATATGTAGATTCAAATAACCACCACTGCAAGCAAAATGCCAAATACTCGATCACTGCCAAGATCTACCTCCTACTAACGTTTATAATCCCCCCACCCCTTCCCTCCAATATTCCCTAATCACTGGCAATCATTAATGATTGCCAGTGATTGCTTTATGGCGTTGGAAGATGTCATAAAAATGGAATCATACAGCATATGTGACCTTTTGGGTTTTTTTTCCATCAGCATAATGCCCTGGGGATCCACCCAGCTTGCTGCAGGTATCAGTAGTTCATTTCTGTGCGTTGCTCAGCAGGAGTATTTCCGTATTCCAGCAAGCCAGTAGTATGAATGTACCACTGGTTTGGGTTTTTTTTTAATCATTACCTATTGTATTGGTTGTTTCCCATTTGGGGGGATTACAAATAAAACTTCTTCAGACAACTGTGTACAGGTTTCTGGGGGACATAATTTTTCATTTCTTTGGGATAGATCCTTAGGAAGGTATTGATATGTATGTGTTTATTTCTTTTTTTTTTTTTTTGGCCAGGGCCAGGTTTGAACCCGCCACCTCCGGTATATGGGGCCAGTGCCCTACTCCTTTGAGCCACAGGCGCCACTCTGTATGTGTTTCATTTTTTAAGAAACTGCCAAACCATTTTCCAAAGTAGCTGTGCCATCTTATATTCCCACCAGTGATGTACGAGAGTTAGTTTCTCTTCATCCATAACAATAAGACAGAGTCTCATTCTGTCGCCCTGGGCTGGGTAGAGTGTCATGGCACCACAGCTTCAAATGCCTGGGCTCAAGTGCCCCTCTTGCCTCAGCCTCCTGAGTAGCTGGGATTGTAGGTGCCCACCACAATATCAGGTTAGTTTTTTGTTGTGTTTTTTTTACAGTTTTTGTCCAGGGCTGGGTTTGAACCCACCACCTCCAGCATATGGGGCTGGTGCCCTACTCTTTTGAGCCACAGGTGCCGCTTCCAGGCTAGTTTTTTATTTTTAGGGGAGAGAAGGTCTCACCTTTGCTCCAGCTGGTCTCAAACTCCTGAGCTCAAGCAGCCCCCCTGCATCAGCCTCTCAGAGTGCTAGGATTATAGGCATGAGCAGCTGCACCCTGCCCTTATTTGGTATTGTTACAAATTTTTATTTTAGTATTTCTGATTGGTGTGTAGTGATACCTCATCGCGGACTTAGTTTGCATTTCCCCAGTGGCTAGTGATATTGAACGTCTTTTCATATGCCATCTGTAAATCCTCTTTGGTGAAATATTTCTTCGTATCTTTTACCCATTTCCTAATTGGATTTGTTTCTTATTGTTGAGTTTTTGAGAATTATCTGTATTTCCAGAAAAGAGTCTTTTGTCAGATGTGCGGTTGGCAAACATTTTCTCCTAGTCTATAGCTTGTCTTTTCATCATTTTAACAGAGAGAAAGTTTTTAATTTTGGTGACGTCCAATTTATTAATTTTTTTCCCTTTTCCCTAGGCCTACGTCCCCAAAATGTTCTCCTCTCTCTTTTTTTTCTTATAAAAAGTTTATTGTTTTGGGTGGCGCCTGTGGCTCAGTGAGTGGGGCACCAGCCCTGTATACCCAGGATGGCAGGTTCAAACCTGGCCCCGGCCAAACTGCAACAAAAAAATGGCTGGGCACTGTGGCGGGCGCCTGTAGTCCCAGCTATTCGGGAGGCTGAGGAAGGAGAATCACCTGAGCCCAGGAGTTGGAGGTTGCTGTGAGCTGTGACGCCGTCTCACTCTATCAACAGCAATAGAGAGACTCTGTCTCTATAAAAAAAAAAAAAAAGTTTATAGTTTAGCATTTTACATTTAAGTTCAGAATTCATTTCGAATTAATTTTTGTATAAGGTATGAAATTTAATTCAGGCTGTTTGAGGGGGTTTTGTTTATTTGCTTACGTGTTTATGGATATCCAATTGCTCTGGCACCATTTGTTTAAAAAACTAATCTTTCTCCATTGAATCACTTTCATCAGAAATCAGTTGGCCTTACTTGTGCAGGGCTATTTCTGAATTTTCAATTCTGTTCCATTGGTCTATGCCTCTATCTTTCTGCCAATACCACACAGTCAGGATTACTAATAATAGCTGATAATAAGTCTTGAGATACCTGATACCTCCTACTTTATTCATCTTTTTCAGAATTATTTTAGCTCATCTAGTTTCTCTGCCTTTCCATTTAAATTTTACAGGTTTTTTTTTTTTTTGGTTGGGGCTGGGTTTGAACCCACCACCTCCGGCTTATGGGGCTGGCGCCCTACTCCTTCAGTTATAGGCGTCACCCTCCATTTAAATTTTAGGATAATCTTGTCTCTATCAACGAGAAAAAGAGTTTGTTGAGATTTTGATAGGAATTGTGTTTTGGGGAGAATTGACATCATCATTCTGTTGAGTCATAGACCAATAGGGATTTTCTGTGTATTTAGACCTTTGTTTTCTTTTTCTTTTTTCTTTTTTTGAGACAGAGTCTCAAGCTATTGACCTGGGTAGAGTGCCATGGAGTGCCATCGCATCACAGCTCACAGCAACCTCCAACTCTTGGGCTTAAGTGATTCTCTTGCCTCAGCCTCCCAAGTAGCTGGGACTACAGGCGCCTGCCACAATGCCCGGCTACTTATTTATTTATTTATTTTTTGCAGTTGTCGTTGTTCAGCAGGCCTGGCCGAGTTCGAACCTGCCAGCCTCTGTGTATGTGGCCGGTGCCCTACCCGCTGAGCTACGACATTTTGTAGTTTTCAACATAGAAATCCTGCAGATGTTTTGTTTGACTTACACCTAAGTAGCCTTCATAAAGCAATAAGAAAAATAGAATTAGTGCACAGCATTTTAAAGCTGAATAATATTCATATAAAAATTTAGAGGTAGAGGGCAGTGCCTGTGGTTCAGTGGGTAGGGTGCCAGCCCCAGATACCAAGGGTGGTGGGTTGGAACCTGGCCCCAGCCAAACTGCAAAAAAAAATAGCCTGGCATTGTGGCGGGTGCCTGTAGTTCCAGCTACCCGGGAGGCTGAGGCAAAAGAATCGCCTAAGCCTAGGAGTCAGAGGTTGCTGTGAGCTGTGACGCCACAGCACTCTACCAAGGGCGACAAAGTGAGACTCTGTCTCTACAAAAATAAATAAATAAATAAATTTAGAAGTAGAAAAATAGGAAGATGTCACCACCTTATGCGACTCTTATATGGGAGCTGATAGAGCTGAGCAAGGGACACTTCCAGGAAACGGAATTTCCTGGCCTCACCCTGCCCATTCTCTCATTGTGTTATAAGCTTGGCTCATGTGGACATTTACTTTTTATTTTGAGACAAAGTCTCAAGCTGTTGCCCTGGGTAGAGTGCTGTGGCGTCACAGCTCACAGCAACCTCAAACTCTTGGGCTCAAGTGATTCTCTTGCCTCAGCTTCCCAAGTAGCTGGGACTACAGGCACCCACCATAATACCTGACTATTTTTTTTTTTTTTTTG